TGTGACTTTGGCATTTGCTTATGGGGAAAAGATAAGTGTTAAAAGTGAAGCTAGAAAGGGTGTTGACATGTTAGGTTTTAAATTAATGCTAGAGAACACTAACTATATAGTATTATTGAAAAACAGTATTATGATTTTCTTTTATGCCTTAGGTCTTTGCACTGCTGGACTTTTTCTCATTCTTTATTGATAGGTGATGGTATCAGTTTTGATGTTAATAATTAATTGTTAATATTTTTTATTTTTTTGTTTATATTGTATTTTTGTTTTTAATAATTTTATCTTTATAATATATTTTTTTCGTCTTTATGGTACGTTTTCTTCTATTTTTTGACACGTTTTCAGTCTTTTTATCGATCGTTTAATCGTTCTCTTCGTTTCATTTTCTTAGGTTTGGATTTGACGTAGCCTCGATTAATCAAGACGACGCTTATTTGTTATCCTACTGATCTACCCTACTTTGGACATTTAAATTGGATTTGGATATGAGATTTGTGTTAGGAGATAATTTTATCAATTTAAATGAGAATTACATTTTTATGGTGAAATTGAAACAATTAAAAATTTGAGGATGAAATTGAAATATTTAAAAATTCATAAACTAATTTAAAACGGGTGCATTCCACAAGACATCTTTAAACTATGCTTAGATTTTAAAATATTATGACTGAGCCTTTTAATTATCCTTTCAATTAAGGTTGTGTTTAGTAGCAGTTTCAAAAATATTTTTTAGGGTGATCATATATATACTAACAACAAAAAATTTCGTATGAAGTGAACACAAATAAAATTTTAAGATGACGTCATTAGTAAAATTAACAACTAATATAACGAAATTCAGATTTCATAATGAATGTCCACCCTGACATCCATGTACATCTGCCACTTATTATGTCAGTTTATTTATTTGCATGAATATTAATGTCAATTCGAATCTAGTACGTGATATATTTAAAAAAGATCAGATTTTAAATAATTTATACATGTTACATGAACAATTTAAATTTGATATGTTAAAAAAATAGATTATATCACTAAAATTTAACTAATTTATTTTGTTAACATATCATATCTTAGTTGTACGTATAATACAGTGGCGAATTTAAAAATAATTTAGGTTTTGGGTTAATATAAATATAATAAAAAAATCATCTAATATAATTAATATATATTTTTAATTTAAAAATATAATAGCAATTACATATTGGGTTAAATCTAGAAAAAAATATATTAATTGAATTAATATAATTGGAGCAATATATATTAATTTTCTTAACTTAATCTATGTTTTGGTCATTCAACTATTATTTTTTTCAAACTCATACTTAATGTTATGTTTTGGTTCTTTTTTGGTAGCACACCATTAAAATTTTAACAATGATACTAACGTAACATTTTTTAATTATTTTTTAATCATAATGTGACATTATCTTATGATGACACGTTAACATCACCGTTAAATTTTTAAAGACAAGTGACCAAAACATAACCAAAATATAATGTTATGTATGATTTAAAATAAATAATAGTTGAATGACCGAAACGGAAACTAAATAATAAATTAGATACTAAAAAATAATTTACCCTATTTTTAGCATAGGCTGGGCCGTGACCTAGATAGGCCTAGGCCTAAATAGGCCATTGGTACAATAAGTGTACAATATTTCATACCAAATTCAAATTAATACGTAATGATGCATATATTGATGATTAGACCAATACAAAAAATAGAATAGAATGATATCGATAATAGTTTAAAATTTAAAATATGAATTACAGTTTAGAAATATTTGAAATAATTAATTGGCTTTTAAATAATAATAATTAAAATTTCAACTGTCATTTAAAATCATGATCGGCACAGCCCTATAACATTATTTTTTTAATAGGTTAGGGTTATTTACCGATAATGTATGCATCTATTCGAACTCAAATTCTTTAGAAATTACTATAACATTAATTCCCAACAATAGCAGATGCAATAACAAACATGGGCAAGGGAAAGATCCTTGGGAAGTACAATGTACCAATTAGCTAAATATATTAATTGTTTTGTTATGGATAAAACACAAAACAAAGAATTTGAATATGAGAAAGTTTTGCTATAACTCTGGAGGCAGATGATCCCATGCTCACAGGCAATCCCTAATCATCTGGCACATGACATGCTTCCACCCCTTTGTCCATTTTGCAATCAAGGTAACATTAATTTACTTGAATTTATTGTATTTTGCATTGATCACAAGCATGCAAATATATGTCAATAGGGTTAAGCGGCTTGGTTCTGGCTACTAATTGAATTTTTTTTCTTAGTTAATATGGGGTAAATATAAGGTTGTATATGCTCAAATATAACTTTCAACCATTTGACATTAAACACTCACACCCCTGACATTCTTGGTGCTCAAACCCGATACCTCAAGGAATAACAACAATTCTTTTACCATTGAGGTCGCTTGATTCGTGCATTTAATTTTGAAATTTAAATGTAAATTAAGGGTCTGTTTGTTTCACTGTAATTAGTTTTTCGAAAAATATTTTCCTCATTTTAAAAACAATAATATTTATTTTTTTAATAAATAGAATTATTTATTGTATTTGATAATTATAATAAATAATTTCTAAAAAAATTATCAACTAGTGGAATCTAATTTACATAACATCATCCAAACAACGTAAAATGATTTCTAGAAATTATTTTTCAAAAAATTAAATTTTTATTAAATGAAAGTTTCTATTTGCATTCGGATATTTGGATATCCGAAATTCAAATATTAATTTTTTTATCGAATATGAATTAAAAGTTTAATGATTTGAATTTTTTGATCAAATAATATCTGAAATAAAAAATGCACACCCTCAATCACAAACACAAACACCAAAACATTGATATTATATATATTCCTATAATGTTTGTCATACTTTGATATTATTTGAGCTGCCATTTTTCCAATACTTTTACCATCCACACTTATGTTGTTGGAAATCATTAATATAGTCCCATAAATTTCATGCAAATAAGAGTTGTAAGTCACATAGCAATGTTGCATCATAGAATACATTCAAGAAAGACAAATAAGTTTACCCACCATCTTCCAATTTTCTTCCCAAACCTTTTAAGTTCATCGAAACAAGATGAATCTTTCATGTACAAGTTAGAAAAAAATAGATTTAAGAATTAAATAGGTAAATTTTATCTGGCTTGAACATCCAAAGTAACAACATATTTACCGCCATCTTTTTTTCTTCTATACCTGTTTTAAACGGAGAAGACCTAAAATACCTCATAAAAATTTGAACTTTCATAATTGACAAATCATTTTTTTTAAATCACCTCTTACAGTTAAATTCAAACGTATGAAACACACATCGAGTATGTAAATATTGACCTTCCATAAAATTAGACTCTCAAAAGTTAAGTCTTCTCCTCAAAACTTGAGAAGGGGGCATGCTACCACTCTCTCTATTATCTTTTTCAGTTGGTCTCTTTTCCTTTCATCAACTACCGCTTACGTTTCTTTATCCAATCCAAAAAGAATAAATCATAAAAAATCACTATAATTTCATTTTTCCATCAATAATATTTATTAATTTTATATGTTATTTTCATATAGTTTCTTATTCTAAAATATAACGCTTGAACTTTAATTTGAATATTGAAAATTTTGAAATTTATTAAGTGACATTAGTGGTTAAAGAGAATTTTATTCTTCTTATAGTACCTAGTATGAGACACCAAAAAAATGAAAGTTTTGACCATTTTGTACACTTATATCATGTTATAGTTTAATATAAGTATTATTTTATGTTTATAAACCTATAACAGTGTAAATAATATTTTCGTATAATTTTAAGATATCCATGTATATCAGATTTTAACATATTTGAAAATTATGTGAGAGTGATGATCACTATTATTATAATGGTAAACTACACGTTTAGTACCTATTTTATCAGTTTTATTTTATTTAGGTATCTGAATTTCATTTATTTTAAAATCATACTTAACATTTACTTTTTATTTCATTTTGGCCTTTAAAACCTTAGCGAAACTACTACAACATGACACTTCTTTTATAGGTAAATTACATCATTCGTCACTCAACTATCTATTTAATCTTATTTTAGTCATTGAAGTTTAATTTTTTTAATTTAATCATTTAACTTTAAAATGTAGTTTTTATTTTAATTATATATTAATAAAAAATATAAAAAATGTCATGTTACAAAAATTATTAATAAAATAAATTAGAGTGGTTAAAACATGAGTAATTTGAAAAGTTGAGAAGTTAAATTGAAAATTTATAAACTTTAGTGACCAAAATAGGAGTGAGAAGATAGTTCTATTAAGATTTTAACGGTGACGTACTAAATGAAACAAAAAGTTACAAAATAGTCACTCAATTATTCATATATTACAAACTCGTCATTTTTCGTTGAAAATTTGAGGACTGTCTGAGTTGGACGCTAATATGCTGATTGGAATATAATAAAATCACATTTTAATGATGCCTACTGGCACCGCTGTTGCTTTCAAGCACTAGCTCGATGACATAATGTTTCAAGTACTAGCTCGACGGCATAATGTAAACAGATATTTGATCCATACAATACAACTCAAACAATTTGAGATCAGATTTTTATCGTATCCCAGTGAGCATGTTAACATTCAGCTCAGACAAACCGCTAACTTTTTAACGGAAAAGGATGAGTTTGGAACATATGAATAGTCGAGTGATTATTTTGTAACTTTTAATAGTTAGGGGACTCAACAAAGCATCATCTAGTCAAGAGACCATTTATGTACTTTATCCAAAAATTATAACCCAAAATCTAATCTTGTTCACGAGAAAGATAAGATAAATGGCAATTATTTGGTAGCAAAATTAATGGGGTAGTGAAAGTGGTCCCTAACTTTCCATATTAACTTCCCATTTCCCTGCATCAAATTATTTTCATTCATTTCAAGTCTCAACCTCTTCTTCCTCGCAAATTAAACAATATTGGCCATTTCCCCTACGCATTGTCTTCTTCTTTTCCTTTTCAACCTCTTGTCATTTGGTAAATTTATCCCCTTCAATGTATATGTGTGTGTTGGTTTGTAGTTTAGTTTTATATCTGGCTTCATTTGCTTAACAGCATTTTTTATTCAAAGAACATTGATTTAACTCTGATTATAACAAAAATTTCAGGGACGATATTTTGTTCAGCTGCCGTTTTTACCGTCAAAAACCATTGCAGTTTCACGGTGTGGCCCGGTTATCTCTCCGGAAATGGCGCTGCACTTGGCAATGGTGGTTTTTCATTGTCACCTGGTTCATCAGTCCAGCTACAACCTCCACCCGGTTGGTCTGGCCGCATCTGGGGTCGAACTGGCTGCAAATTTGACGACTCCGGGTCTGGCAAATGTATAACCGGTGACTGCGGTGGGGTACTGAAGTGCAGCGGCGGTGGCGTGCCACCCGTCACCTTGGTGGAGTTCACCATTGCAGGTGGCTCTGCTGATAACAAGGACTATTATGATGTCAGTCTGGTGGATGGTTACAACGTTGCCTTGGGAGTCGAGGCAATTGGTGGTTCAGGGGATTGCCAATATGCAGGTTGTGTCGCAGATCTTAATGCAAATTGCCCGGTTGAATTAAGGGTCATGGATTCGGGCTCGGTGGTCGCTTGCAAAAGCGCATGCACAGCGTTTAACACGCCGGAGTTTTGCTGCACCGGGGATCATGCTACTCCTCAAACTTGCTCGCCGACGCAGTACTCCAAGATGTTCAAGAATGCATGCCCCACAGCTTATAGTTATGCTTATGATGATGCCTCTAGCATTAGGACTTGCTCCGGATCGGATTATTTGATAACATTTTGCCCAATCGGGTCATAAACATTACTGATATTTGATTGGATTAATGTCGTGTTCAGATTATTAAAAAATAAAAATTTATGGTTGAATTAATTTATGTTACAGTTACCATTAAAACAAACTTTGGCTTAATCTGTTTGAATTATCATTTAAGATTGGTAAAGAATAAATGATTTTTAAATGATTTGTACAAAATTGAAAGCAATGTTGATGAATCTAATTGAAATTTAAGGGGCCATAAGCTTTGCGTGATTAGTGGGGTGGTTGAGTTGCACTTTTAATAAATTTCATGTGTACACACATACGCACTATAGATGCTTGAATCTAATTTAAAAAAATATATTTTTTTTAATCATGAAAACTACTCGATAGATTCTAATAATAATAATTAATTTTACACTATAAAAACAGTGAAATTGGATGCTAATTATGAAACAAATTCACCAAACCAACTTTATTAGAGTGGGTAAATTTATTTCCCATGAAATGCTGGTGGTGGGGCACTCAAATTCAACTGCTTACCCTTTTGTAGTACTTGTTTTGGTTTAGATTCAAAAGCAATTTTTTTTAAAAAAAGAAAGAAAAGAAAAAGACCTGCCTCTTTCATTACTAACATCGCCTTAAATGTATTCCTACTTGTAATGAACCAAAAATAAGAAGCTTATAATTGAGGATTATCAATACCAAAACTTTGCATTCTATCTACATCAAATTCTCTTTATATGTATGGTAAAGTACATAAATAGTCCCCGACTATTGACTGATGTTTTGTTGAGTCCCTCGACTATTAAGTTACAAAATGGTCCTCTGATTATAGTGTGTTACTTTGTTGATTCCCTCAACTATTAAAAGTTATAAAATGATCCAACTATTGGGTAAAGTACACAAATAGTCCCCCGGCTATTGGGTGAAGTTTTGTTGAGTCCCTCCACTATTAATAGTTACAAAATGGTCACCCAACTATTGGGTAAAGTACACAAATAGTCCCCCGACTATTGGGTGATGTTTTGTTGAGTCACTCGACTATTAAAAGTTACAAATGATCCTCCGATTATAATGTGCTGCTTTGTTGAGTCTCCTGACTATTAAAAGTTACAAATGGTCACCCAACTATTTAGCATGTTCCAAACTCGTCCTTTTTCGTTAAAAATTTGACAACCTGAGTTGGATGCTAACCCGTTGATTGAGATATGATATTTTTTGAGATTCTGATATCAAATTTTTCATATCTTAATCGGTAGTTAACATCCAGCTCAGAATGCCATCCATTTTTAACGGAAAATGATGAGTTAGAACATACTAATTAGTCGAGTGACCATTTTGTAACTTTTAATAGATGAGAGACTCAACAAAGCAATACCCTATAGTCGGATGACCATTGTGTAACTTCTAATAGTCAAAAGACTCAATAAAACATATATAAATAGGAGTTTACTTATTTTTTATTGAAATATTATCCTTTTACGAATAAAAAAATCGATTTCTTAAATTTTAAGTTAATTCAAATTATTTTAGTTAGTCGAGTAAATTCAAATTTTTGATTCAAATTTTGTGTTTGAGTTTATTTCCTATTTTCAAATTTTATATAACCAAAAAATTAAAAATTAAAATGACGTCATTTTGATCTTTAAATAAATATTTTAATTATTTTACAATTTGGTCTTTAATTTTCTTGTTTATACAAATCCCTCTTAGTTTCAAGTTCATTTTTATCAAATTTGAACTACATACTCCTCAACCACCATAGAATACCTATGTAGCTTCAATTTTTTAACATCAAATTTTCTCTTTTTCAATTTAATCCCTTAATTTTGGACGATTCTCTTGTTTCTTCAACTCTTCCTTCGTTTTAAGTATATTTTTTATCAAATTTGAACAAGATACTCTTTTACCATTTTATAATACCTATTTAACTTCAATTCTTCTGTTTTGACTATAAATTATCTATTTTTACAATTTATTCCCTCACCTTTGTATTTTATTCAATTTGGTCATTCGATTGAAACTCTTTGAAAAAAAATTCTCATCAATTCATTATTCCTTCATTCTTCTCATCAATACTTTATAATCAAAATTCATTATTTAAAAAAAAAAGCATTATAAACTTGTGCCTACTCTTATTTGTCTGCCCACTTATTTTAAACATGCGACTTCAACAATTCAATTAAAAATAATCAAGTAGACAAAGGAAGAATATATACATTTCCAGAAATCCACTTCAAGTCAAGAGGTACATTGAACCAAGCAAGTCTCAGTGATTTCTTACAAGTCTTGTTACCAAGTTCTACATCATATCTACATATCAACTAATCTACCCAAAAAAGGAAGAAGCAAGCCACGAATACCGTATATATTACAGACATCCTACCAAGTGAAGATATCGGGATACCGAGTTTCTGTTAGCGTTGACGGCCGAACTCAACATTCTTATCCGGGTCATTTGCAAACAGTCTTCAATCTCTTCGCAGCCTGAACAAATCCCACAATGACCTGCAGCTCATCCATTTGCTACACCAAGAGACACAAATTACATCATGTAAATAGAGTTTGTTCGGAAATTGTCGGATCTCATTCGTGCTAATAAGTTACCTGTGACACAAAATGCCTTTGAACAACATCAACTAGTTGCTCCTTTGATGGATTGGGGATAGCATCCACCTAGAAATGGAAAAGGCAATGACATTTAAACAATTTCCTTTTCTTTTGTTATAAATGTACCATGAAAACACTTACAAGATTGAAGTGTCGCCAATATCTCCATAAAGCAGTTTTCTCAAGTTTGCTGAGATCAACATTCTACAGAGAAAATATAATGAAAAAAATAAAACACTATTAATTCAAAGAATAGATAGCTAACATAGTTTTCCAATAAACCAAAACTTACTTAAAAACCGGATGCAAGCTCAATAAAAGTCATTATTTACCGTGGAGCCACGGGTAGTGGAAACAGACCCCTTAGACTGCGAGTCACAAGAAAGAGACCTGCTCGTAGTCCTGTGAGAAGAACCGGTCGATTTATGTGTTCTATGCCTCGACCTGTGGGACTTTTGAGTGTCATCGGAGGCTGGAAATGAAGACAGAGAACAACGAGGATTAAAGAACAAAAGCATGATGGGACCGATACAAAGATAAAAGCATTGATACATTGAAGCTAAGAAATAGCAAGTGTTATAGTGAAGACACAAAGGATCCTATGTTCCATGCTCAACCACATTTCACTGTAAAGAAATTATCATCCAAAATCATATACCTGAATGGTTGATCACAAAATTAAGTAATAACTAGAGATCAAAAGCCAATAAGGATGATAACCATAGCACTAGCATCCGAGGCAGAGAGGTCTTACACACAACATGAGTACTCGACGACACCAGTAAACGAAATATCTTTTCCACTACTGCGAATTTCAAAAGAAAAGAACTAACCCATGTCTGATTCATTACACTGCATGTTTTCGAATTCAAGATCATCATCCTCTTCGTTACCAGTAGGTGCTTCAATTACGCTGAGTGCATTTCTTTGCAGCTTCACTTCTATGCCATTTGTAAGAACCTGTGGTTTTTAGTAATTAGGCAAACAAATATTAGTATCAGCTGCACTGTAAATAAAACCCTAATCTACTAAATAATGCTAAATAGTCAGCCAGAATTAGCATTGTCAATTTGTATTTCAATCCACTAGCCAATCCAGAGTCTTTTTTTTAAAAAAACTTGGTCTTGAATACATGTAATTCAAGGGGAAATCTATGAATTTGTCAAAAGAAATCAGCTGTGTCGGAGAAAAAGTCCAGCTCTATCTCTGAAGCTAATCAACAAACTATGAATTAATGGCATAATAAACCATTCGATTCACAAATGAAAGTTACAAAAAATGGGGAAACAAAGAACAAAAAAAAGTAGGGTTTTTCTCTTAAAAAAAATTGAAAAAAAATCAATATTCATTGTAAAGATCCAGATAACAACTATACATTAAGAAAAACACTTGAAAATTCCAGATCCATTGGCTAACACTTGCATGCAATCAAAACCCACCTCGAAAACCTCAAATTTGCACCTTGTGACCAATACAAAATTGATTTTTATTTGATAAAATGAGACGGATCAAATTCTATAAAATTTAGACAAGAAATTTCCAAATTTGCAGTTTTAGTAAATAGAAAATAAATCGTATAGAACAGGGCATTCAATTGTGTTACAGAGAAAAAAGGATTCAAACCAAAATCAAATATGAAGAATGGAATGTACAAAAAGGTTTACTCGATAATTGAAAACCTCAAATTGAATCCACATTACCTTTTGAAAAATAAATTTTGAATTTACTTAATCTTGATAATATAAACATTATGAACCAATTTCCAGATCAAACCGCAAAAACCCATTTTCCGGCCAAAACTTAAAAAAAAAAACCGCAATTCCAAAGAATTACCAGCCAATGCCACCCGCCAAGTCCGACAGCCTTCTTGACCACGCCGTGAAGACCAACGAGAACCGATTTAGTACGGTTATTCCCGGTGACAACCACTTTGGTGTGACGTGGCAACACCGATAGCTCTTCTTCGCTACTGTCACCGCAACTCTGTAACTGAGAGAAACCACCGCCATTGACGGAACTCTCCATTCCCTCCAACATTAGTTTCTCCAACAACAAAAAAGAAGTCCCAACTCAGTGAGTCGATCAGGTGGGTCAAACTCGGTAAAAAAACACAAAGTTAAGGATCAAAATTACATTGGATCGAAAGATCATACATTGGTGAACACGTAGATGCGATTTTCGTAAGCGAAAGAGAGAAACTGCGGAAAAATATGAGACTTTTGTATTAAAAAAAAGGGGGAAATAAAGTTGAGAGAGAGAGAAAACAAAAATCAAAGTTGTTTCTTTTTTCTACCGAAAGGAAGACGAGAGTTACTTGTTTTGTTTACTGGTTGGTGTCGCTAGGAATCCCGACAAAAAGAAACGGACCAATTAGAGAATGCCACGTATGGAGATGAGAGTTTTCTCGTCAATCATTCGTTACAGAGAGGAGAAGAAGAGCGGGTTTTTTTTTTTTAAGGAGCGGTTTTATTTTGTGGGGGTTGACCGTTTGACTGGCAGTGAAAATGGAGTACATGGGTATAGTAAAATCACCAGAATTGCTCTCCTTTCACATTTTTAACCTAACCTTTTACCACGCCTCTTTCGCGGCTTTATGTTAATTCAATTACAATTAAATATTGCCACTAAATTTCATTACATCATGTTTCTTTCACTAATGTTACATTTTAATGTGATTATTAATTTTTGGATAATTTTCTTTACTTTCATATTTTTTGTCAAAAGCATTCTTTAAACTAAATATTTTTTTAAATCTGAATAATGAATTATATATATATATATATAGGTTTAAGAGTTATTTTTGCTTATGTAGTAGACTTAATTTATCATTTTTATTCTTATAGTATTTCCGTATCAATTTAACCCTCAAAGATTTAGAGACATCATCTTAATCCTTGAAGTCCGTTTTGATTAACAGAACCATTAGTCTTCTACATTTGTGGACGCAACAATTTCAACGTCAGTCAATATTACTTATGTGACTTGATGATGGTGTGGCATTTATTAAAAAATAAATAATAAAATATTTATTAAACACAACGATTAAAAATCCTTGAAATTTTAAAAAATATTCTAACCGTTGTATTTAGTAAACATTTTAACCAAATTCTTATTCCAGAGACTCATAAGGCTAACGATTATGTTAGTCAAAATGAGCAACAGACTTCAAGGGTTAGGATGATGCTCCTAAACAACTTAGAGAGTTAAATTGATGCGAAAATACCATATTAACGAAAATGATAAATTAGACCTCCTAAAAACAAAGATAACCCTTAAGCCTATATTATATTTATAATCACCTCAAATATATTAGAGATTCAAATATATTAGAGATTTAAAATATTAAAAACTTTTTTGAATAGTAAAATATTAAAATCATTTTATGCATAAAATATTAAAATTTTAAATTCATTTTTACTTTTAATCTTGTATAAATTAAGATTTAAATATATATAAAATTTATCCAATCATTAAATTTGTTTTTATGGTTTAACAGCTTTCGTACTCACATAATGACCTAGGTTAGAATCTACATTAACCTAAATATTTTATTTTTCTTGTATTAACTAGAATAGGTTAGAATCTAAGAATCTATGTCATAAGCGTGAGATTTGGCCCAATGGTTGGAGTGTGCCTTTATCACATCTCAATCCTAGGTTTATTTCAAACCTACACTATTTTTTTTCTACTTATTTTTCTTTTAATTATAGGGTTATACGTGTCACCTTTTTATTAAAAAAATTTATTAAATTTAATAAATTACGTTTGATTAGACAGTAATATATACCATTGATTAGAAGATTAAATTTATTAAATTTAAGATTAAATTAATAAAATATATCATTTTTTTAATAAGTTAATTTCATAAAAAAAACGCAAAGAATTGATACAAGAGTCAAACCCCACCGCGCATTACATTGAATCTCATGACCTAATCAGAGACAGAAATCGTAGAACTTACTGTGTACTTAACCAAGACAACTATTACCCGGGTCTCCCTAGCTCTCTTTCCATGCAACCTGCCATTTCGCTCTTGTCAAATATGATAAACAAATGCATTAACTCTTTCGTCAAATGTTAACGACATGTGGTTTGATTGATATACTTTAATAGTGTTGAAATAATATTTTGCAATTAGTTACGAGTTGTTAGTAATTAGTTACAGATAGACTGTTTGTATAGCAGTTATATAAACACTTACACTTTGTACATTAATGATGTGTGATGATTATACATAAGGAATTAATCTTTAGTGGGTTGAGTATTTTAACAAATAATTAAGTGATATGATTGACAAAACTGAAAAATAAGTGGTCAAAATAAAAAAATTATAAATTTTTAAGTAAAGCCCTTCAATAATTTTTTTAAAAAATCTAGATCTAAACTCACGCCATGTGTAGATTACTTTGCTCAAATCCAGGTTTTTAAAGGAGAACAAAATTCTCTTAATCACTAGACCACTCCAAGAACTCAAAATCTTCTATGGTTAAATGGTCATGACCGTAAGTTATCCTAAAAATTTAAAGACTAAATAATTTTAGTATTTATAAAATGATAAAATTGATTATTTAAACTTTTCCTAAAAGCATCCAAAGATGAAAATAAATACCAATAATTTAATAATAAAAGGAAGATTAATTTGGGTGATTACAATAAAAAAAGAATTCATTAAATGATCTAAGTAGTAAATAGAAGTGTTGTTCTTCGTTAAAGTCTTGAGTTCGAACAATAAAGTATGCATGATATCATAGTTTATTATTCATTACCTAAAAAAAATTCTAAACAAAAATAATAAAAATAATAAAAACTATTTCAAATACCACTAAACTTTCTTTGTTAACTCGCTTATGCCATTGAACTTTCAATTTTATCAAATATAGCACTGAATTTTAGTTTCACATCAATTATGTCATTTCATCGTTAAATTACTAACTAGACGATGACAAGGATAATTGTTGTTGATGTGACATGTCACCCAAAATGATATCATTTTGGGTGTGTTTGTTCTGATGTTTAAGATGGCATCATTGTAGACACTGAACTTTAGAGGTGTATTAGTTTTGCCGTTAAATTTTTAAGTAATTTACTATTTTGGCACTCGGTTTCTTTCAATGGTCATCTTATGAAGCCAATTTTGAGATATACTTCTCGTCTTCTTGAAATAATACTTTTCATTGTTCAAATTTTTAGATAAATATCCTAAATCTCGTAAATCTAAGAAAGTCTCCAAACATCTAAAAATAGTTTTTTTGTTTAATTTTGTCAATTTTGAGTGAGTTTCATGAGAAAAAAATAATCACATGAGAAGAATGAGGAGTAAAATGCGAACATTTTGGTACCAATTTTACCGTAAAATATTATTATTGATGAGTAATAATTGGCTATTAGTGACGATGGAAAAGTGTAATGCCAAAAAAGTAAATTGTTAAAAGTTTAATGACAAAACCGACACACTTCTACAGTCCAGTCGACATTAGAACAATATCGCCAAAATAAAGTCATTTTGGTGTGGCATGTCATGTCAACAAACGTTAGTCATATCATTGTCTCGTTATTGACATGGTGACATACTTGAATGTAAAATTAAAGTTCAATGTTATAAATGAAAAGAAAATTAAAAGTTCAGTGATATAAATGAATTAGCGAACAAAGTTCAATGTATCTAAAGTTAGGGTTTTCATGGTCAGTTAACCATATTATTTAGCTAAACGACAAGTTAAGCATTTCTTAATAGTTCGATAACAAGTTAACCTACGATTATCTTGTTATAATTATTTTCAAATACAACCTAACATGAAAGTTTCGAAACAAATCGACGATAGGAATATATATATATAGATGCATTTTATTTTTATTAAACATATATATTATGATATATATTCAATCTTTAGTTTAAAATCTTGTATTTATTTAATTTATAATTTATTTGTAATTTAAATCTCTCTAAAAATATATAATTTATTATGTATAATATATTAACAATTAATTGATGGTTAATTATTTATTAAAATTCATAATTGTAATTATAACCATTAATTAATATTTTTAACAGTTTGATTAGTCAAAATTATTTAATGTTAATGATATAATTAATTAATCTATAAAATATAATAATTATACCAACTAACAATTACGATTAATAATTATAGTTTTTTTGTCCTCCCATTCCAAGACTTTACCTTTACTAATCTAAATTGACTCGAGTTACCATCTGACTTTAATAAATAAATCTTCAAACAAATTTTTTTTACATACATAAATATTCAAATTCAAAGAATTCATAAGGGAGAGCCACTTGGAGAGGGCAAGCGCTACTTGTCATCGGTGTTTGTGTTTTCCTGTATGGGATATCCCTTGCCTTCTTTTCCTCAATTCACCGACTTGCATCGCATGATTATCAATGATTAATTATTTAAAAAACTTATATAAATTTAAATATTAAAAAATAGCTATAAATTTTAAATATAAATGAAAATATGAAAATAATAATAATAATTTAGTTGAAAATATAGAAAAACTTTTCATATTTACATATTAAAATTTAAGCATAAAAGTAAAACAATATTTAAATCTAAATTAAGTTTTGAATTGGAGTAAAATTCAAGCTTTTTAAACCGTCAACGGTACACATTTATTGTTTCGAATACAAATTGATCAAGATATTAATTGTGCAATATAAGTGATTACATTCCAGTTTAGCAAATAAATAATTGAAGATGACAAATGTGACTTCCGTTGGATTATTTGGGCAAGAATCTAAGAGTCCTATTTAAAGTAATATCACTAATAAATAAATAAATAAATAGAATTATGACATTAAGGGTGTCTTTGATTCACGGAATGTAAAATTATCAGTGGGAATAAAAGATTACCAGAGAATACGATTACTGGGAATGTTGTATTTTGTGTTTAGTTGATTTAGCAGGAATGTAAGATTATGTTTGGTTAAATGAATAAAAGATTATTGGAATGTATATTTGACCAAATTATCTTTATTATATATTTATTTTTTAACAAGTTGAATTCTATTATAATATTACTATAAGATATTTATATATTTTCTTTAAATATTTTAAATTCATAAAATTTATATAATTTTTTTACAAAATTAAAATATAAAAAGGTTTAATGAAATGGTCAAATTTTATTTTAACCCTGAACTTCATATAAAATTTTAATTATAGATTTTTTTTGTAAATCTAAAATA